AACCCAAAGGAAACAAATGCGGAAGCAACGTTTCAAAAACGAACAAGAATGAACCTAGGGGAGAAAATGTCATTTCCAGCTTAAAAGTGGGTGTCACTGAGCACACCATTGGAAAGACAACGAAAAATTAATGAATTTAGACTTAAGAATCACTTGATTCGGAGTCCGGATGAAAAAGATATGGCTAACGGAAGAAGAAGGGGTAAAACGGTCAAAAAGTACCAACCCAAGAACATCTAACTAGTTAGATGGCCTATCTAACCGGTTAGAAGGCCAAAAACAGTGACAAAAACACTGCCCACACTCATGTAACCGGTTACGAGACCCCATTTAAACGTTTAGATGTGAAGGGGCAGAAAGGGTGCGACCCAAAAACCTGGCAGCAGGGGTTTTTCTGGAAAAAATTGATTTTTGAAGGCCTAGATGACATTTTCTGGAAAAACACAAAGAAGAAACCCCCTCAAAATTGAGTTTTTTACGTGACTCATTATAAAAATCGAAAAATACTCAATGTGAAATGCCCAAAATGCCCTCTCAAGAAAACTGGTCCAGAGGGTCCAAAAAGCTGCTAAATTTAAAAACTGAGAGCTGAACTTCGGAAGCGATTTCCAATGTCAAGACGACATTTTCTGGAAAATCACAAAAAGAAACTCCCCCTAAAATCATGTTTTCTATTTAACCATGTGAAGAACGAAATTTATTTCCCAAAGAAAATTTCCAAAATACCATCAGGTCAGAATATGCGATAAAAGTGAAAAATGAGTCCGTAGGAGGCTCATTTCACCAAAAAAGAAGCTTTGCCCGGAAACGACCATGCACGCAAACGTAACTTACCTAATAAGATGTGCTACAATGGTCTATGGCTCAAAAATATGGCTAATACAAAATATGACCCCCTAACGGCCAAAATGCCAAAGACGAAGTTTGGAACGAAAACTTAGAATTTAAAATCATGAGATGGTTTCAAAATGCCATTTGGCCTTTGGCCACACCTCATAAATGATGAATGAATGCTAATGAATGAGTTTCAAACACAATGCACGCTCCGGTGCAAAATAGTATACTAAAACACATGAATTTTCATATAATCTCATTAAAGGCAAAAATCAACATCCATAACATAAATGTGATTCTAAAAAGAGTTTGGCCTTTGGCCTCATGTCATATACACAAAATGAGAATCAAAAAGTGTGCTTAGGCACACATTACAAGTTTAGAATCAAATATACACTTTTGACATATAAAGCTACAAAGGCATTTCAAACCAATCTTTACAAAATGGAAACTTTAAGTCCACAAGTCATCCAAGCATAATGGAAACCTCAACTTTGATTCTTGTACCTAAAATGTGCCCCAGTATCGTAGGGGTGAGTAACATAAAGCTACTCGTAGGAAATGAGCATGCATCGACCTACGTTTTACAAGTTTGCATGATTTAATCATTGTGGTTCATTCCACCTAACATCTATGTCAAAGGTGAGACTCAAGGAGCATCCTAACTACCTAAGATCATTTCTAGCATCAATCACCTCATTCATGCAATTGTAGCAACATAGGGTCATGCTTACACAAAGCAACAACATAGAGATTCTCAAGATAATCAACTTGAAGTCTAAAATGCAATATCAATTAAATATAACAATTTAGCATAATTAGAATATCTAATATCACACATCAAGATATAGATTCTCTAGGTTATCAATTAGAAATCTAAAAGTGTGAAATCAACTAAATATAGCAATTTAGTATGGATATACTTAACAATATCAAAATCGCCAATAGCCAAAACCACAAGTCAACAAGGTAAACATGATTGTCAACTTGGAATTGAATGCGAAAACAAATAGTGGAATACTTGGACATCACGCTCGGAATTCTGCCGAGACCTTAATGGTTATTCCGGGCACTAACCCACAGGGAAGACCACCCTAAGTGCGCACTATCTCAATGACTTAAAGGACTCACGTCCCTGTACTAGAGCCAAATCTTAGCCATCTCAACTCAACAATGTTCCAAGATTCCAAAATAAGCCAAATAAGGTCATAACTTATACATATTACTACTATATAGTAACAAGTTAGCAACATAACTCTCAATTGTGTATAATAAACATTTCATATCCATAACGCTACGAAATCACAAGCGAACAATATATTCATATTAGAAACATACTCTCATGAATATAAATTTAACAACAATGCCCTTCAATGCATATAACACAATCAAGTGAATACTTCACAAGTCTAAATCTATGATCTTAAAATAGAAGTACCTTCTAAAACATGATTAAATCCATGGATAAACAAGATAGAATCTAATTACATCAAAATAATTAACTCTAGATTTCAAATAATTTCCAAATGGCCTCAATTTAATATATGATAAAAGACATATCATGGTCATTATATATATTCACATAAAAGCTTAATTAGGCGCATGAAACCACAAAATTAGATTTTAATTAATTCTCTTAATTAAAGTCTCTAAATTTTCAAACTCAACCAAATGCTCTCAAATTAAAGTATGTTGACAAACATGCCAAAACTTAGTTTAGAAGCATAATACAACTCAATTTCATGGAATGTACGGCCATAAACTTTAATCTTTCACAAAAGGTAAGTATTAATTAAAAAGAACAATTCTTATTTAATTAATCCCAATTTTATATATATTAACCAACATATTAAAATAAGAGTTTCTACCATGCCACAATTCAAATCCAAATTTCTCATCATTATGAAAATTAATTCTTATACAAAAAATTAAATATTTCAAATTTCTTAGATTTGATACATGGGATGCATATAGGTTGTATAAACATGGAAAGCACTCAATACAACACATAATAAATCCTAAAACACTCCCTACCTCCATTTAAGATGAAATCTCAAATCACCACCAAAATAAATCGGCTCCGAATCCGATGAAACTCATAGGTTTTGTCGGGGACAACACCACGAACATGAATTCCAAGGAAGTCCCATCAAAAATACAACTTGACTTCAAACCTGAACTCAAAAAATGGCCAAAACGAGATTCCAATCGGTTGAAATCGAAGGCCTCGCCGAGGGGAACAATAAACACTAAGGCATTAATGTATTTCATTGAAGGGAAGAAGCTCAAAAGAAGAGAGAGAAGATGGTAGCCATGGCTGTCTCTAGATCCGGCCAAGAGAGAGGAGAGAGAGAGAGAAAAAAAAATCTGATTTTTCACTCAAAGGCCCCTATTTATAGAAAAACTCAAAAAGTGTCCTGAACGAGCCCAGCCGGGTCCGGAAAAGTGAAATCTGAGCAAACGCGCTCAAACGGAAAAACTCTGTGAACGAAAAAGATTCCAAATGAGAAAATATGAACAACGGAAGAAACGGCGTCGAAAACCGAGTACCGAGCAGAGAGTTATGCCCAAAAAAAGTTTGGCACAAACCGGGGCTAGAAACCCTGAAATTGGAAAACATCGTCCAGGAGGAAATTCTAAGAGTCCACGACTCGACGAAATGTGAAAATGAATCTCATACGAGAATCCAGGCTCAAAACAAGGCATTGAGCAATAACTTTCATTAATTGCACAATGACCTCTACAAAAAGTGAAAACTGCGAAGCTGCCCCAGAATGAAAATATCTTCCAAAAGATATTTTCTTAGATACCCCTAAAATAAAATATCTTCAAAAGATATTTATGAAAAATATCCCAAGAAAAGAAAAAGTTTTCAAAGAACTTTGCATTTATGCCCCTATGGACACTAGGAGCAACCAGAGTACTTTCTCACGAAAGTAAAGATACGTATCTCATAGAAATCATTGGGAATGAAGATACGTGAAGTCAGAAACCAACTCCGAACACAAGAAGTGTGGTTTCGCAAACAGAGTGACAAATGAGGAAAAGACGGAATAGGGAAAAAGATAAAAAGTGAATAGTGTCGTAAAACGAAAAATGTGGGAATGACTCGGTCCTCAAATGAAGTTGTCAATCCATAGAAAAGAGTCTTGGAAATCACTTCGGAGCACTCGAGACGACACTAATCGATAAGAAGCCAAACTTAGAAGGGAAAAGACAATGGAAAAAATTTATTCGAAAAATCCGAGTCATTACAGTATCCTTATGCGAAACCTTAGGGGGGTGTTAGTGTACTTTACTCTAGATTCTTTTGCTAAATTTTAATACAAGGAAATGCAAATTTTTGTGTCCTTGTATTATTTTTGGAAAAATTATATTTTAGTGACCACAATTGAAAAATAATTATTTTATAGTAATTTTAAATTCAAAAAAAAGGTAAATAGTGACCAAACTTAAAAATAAATGTGACCAAACTTAAAAATAAATTGTCAATAAGTGACCATTTAATTTTAATAACCAAAATACCATTCCTTCTATCTTGACCATTTTTTTTTTTTTTTTTTTTTTTTCAACTCCACCCCAAATGTTAAAAATTTCAAGAGAAGGAGATGGAAGGTTTTTGAGATTTTATTTTGCTGTAAATAACATAATATATACACACTTGTTTATGGCCTCGAATTTCTATAATGATAAAATCCAAGAAGACCAAGGAATTAGAGATCTCTATCGGGAAGGAAGGATATTTTAAACATTAAAGTTAAATGGCTACTCATTGAAAATTAATTTTTAAGTTTGGTCACTATATATTTACTTTTTATTGAGTTGAACGTTACTTATAAAGCAAATTTTTTTTAATTTTGGTCACTAAAATTTAATTTTATCTATCTTTTTTTTTATGGGTATTGGCGAATTCTAATAATACAAAGGAAATAATTTTTTTAGGAAAGTAATAATAGAAGTCAAATTTTCTGGGGCTCTGAAATGAAAGGAAGAGAATACAAAATTTCCCTCACCATACATACTCTTCCGTTTTTTTTACTCGTTCCAAACACTGCCGTATTAGCCTTCTTGGCCAACAAGGAAAAGAAAAACCCTAACATTTCCTATATAAAACCCACCCGCCTCAGTCTCTGACACCCAAAAGCACAAGAGAATAAGCTCTAACAATGGCATCATCAAGGGCTCTCACCTCAACCTTATCTCTCGTTAGGATGATCTCTCCACTGAATGCCTCTCCAGTTTTGGTTCGTTCCTTTGGCTCGTCCGCTCGTGACCACGATTCCGAGCCAGAACATTCCGACTCCGACCACAATTCTGATTCAGATTCAGAAAACTGTTCTGGCTCGGACTCCGACTGCAATTCCGAGTCCGATGAAGAAAACAATTCCGATTCCAACTCTGATTCCGAGTCAGACGGTTCAGATTATTCGCACACCGAAGTGGCTCCTCCACCCGAAGGTAAGAAAAAACAGAGCATTCAGTTTTGTTTGTTTCTGTATTGTTTAATTTGATATGATTGATTATTGATTTTTGATGGAGTTGTGTTACAGTTTGTGGTCTGGTGAATCCATTTCTGAAAGACGGGCCGGCGATTCCCTTCAATGTGATGAAAACTGATGAAGCTATGTATGCGAGGTTGAACGTGCCGGGAATCGGAAAGGAAGGGCTGAAGATGTGGGTTGAAGACGACGCTCTCCACGTCAAGGGAGCGGAAGTGGTGGATGATCCTCGATCTCCATTGGCCAAGGACGGCCCGAGGAACTACTCCGGCGACATTGATCTCCCGGAACGCTACAAGGCGGCGGAGATCGATGCTGAACTCAAAAACGGTGTGCTGAAGATCACGGTCCCACTCGAGGAGAAGAAAGATGTCATCAATGTCAAAGTTAAATAATGAGTTAGTTCTTAATGTCTCTCTAGGGTATATGAAGGTTTTAAGTGAATTATATCTATTTGTTTTTGCTAGAAATTAAATACTGATGAAACATTTATGATGAATAAAAGCTTGTGATTTTGTGTTAAGAAGTTATTTTATGTTTTTTGTTAATTTCTTTCTCTTATTTAATTGATCTCTTTGCATGCTAACATGTCAAAATTAAGAAAATATAACTGTTAGTGATTTTAATTATTATTATTATTTTGGTTAAATAAATACTTACACCCACAATTGTTCTTGGAATATGGTAATTATTTTGAATGGTTTGTGTTCCCTAATGGAACCAGAATTGAAGTCCAAATCATACACTGCGAGTGAATCAATGGTCGTCTTTTAATAGACGTAGTTCAATTTCACGGGACAAAAGATCAGAAATTTTAAGTATCTAGTTTTATTCCTATTTTAAAATCTAATTAATAAAAAAATTTGTTCCAAAAAATATTTAGGAAAAAAGATTGAAGTTAATATATGCACTTTTAGTCATAGAAAAAAAAGAAAAAGAAAGTAGTTGAACCTAAATGAAATACAATACTGCAACTAAATTAGTAGAATTAAAATTAAATTAGTTTGGTACATCTAATTACTTAGAGTCTTAAAGTCGAGAGAAGTCTACATATATAAAGAAGTATATGTACTAAGAACTTTGCTTCCAGCTTCGAACCGGAGTTCCATTCATTTAGCTCTTAGGGTGGAATAGTGTTAGGCGGTATTCTGATTGGGCTCTGGTGATTTGTGGGGGCCTTCCACCACTTCGACATATAAGCCCTTTTTCTTGTGATTCTGAAGATGAATGATATTGAATCTGACATGACGAGGATGATATTGAAAATGAACTATATAGAAAGAAGCCCAGGGCGGGAACGGGCTGAACGTCAGATCTCGTCAGCGAACCGGGCTATTGGCCTGGCCTTGAAGGAGAGAGTTGCTTAATGACGACCGAAACCCCTGCTTTTGCCAGCATGACAGCAAGCACGGCGAAATAGGCCACCCTAGCCCATTGAGTGCTCTACCTGGCCTGCATCAACACAGCACTTTTTTTGTGTTTTCTTGCTTTGGGAAAGCAGTCAACCTACGAGCACATCCACTAGACAAGTTCATTGGACCAGTTTCAGAATTAAATTGTGAATTGTATGCTCCTAATTTTTCACTCGACACTCTGCTTAGATTTATATACTCTAAATCATTATTAATTATGAAAAAAAAAATATAATAAAATTTTAATTTTGTATGGACGTATAAAACTATATATAATTAAAATAGTATTATATTATTATATAAGCAATTTACAATAAAAGGAAACTGACCTATTAATGAAGTTTGTGGAGAAAGTGACATGGGTATAATAGGAAATTAAGATATGAATGAGTCACTTTTATTGGAAAGTACAATTTTCTTGTGTTTTTTGTGAGAAACAATTAAGCGATTGCGAGACATTTATTTTCCTAAAAAAATTTTCTTTCACGCTAACTAAACTTCTAACAAATTTAAAATTTTTTTGTTTATTTTCCTTTCTATCTACTTCATGCTAACCAAACGAACATGAGGAAGCAAGGAGAATGAATTTAGTTGAGATTCTTTCTCTCTCTAGAATGGTGGTGAGAGTTGTGTTTTAATGGGATTTGAAGACTAATAATGCTTATGGTTATAGAGATTTGAGTTTCTCTCCCTAACATTGCTAATTCCGCTTATTAGCAATTCGCCTTTTCTATCATTTTTCAAATAAATATCACTATCATATCAATTAGAAACACAATATATATTGGGTGCTTGGGTGTATCATTTATTTATTTATTTTTATTAAATATATTTAAATAGTAAAATTTAAATTTTTTAAGTAATTTATCAAAATTTTAGGACATTACAAAATAAGTGTTATTTTAAAAAGTAAAAATTTGAAAATCAAACTAAGTTATCTCTAATTTATAAAAACTTTCCAAAATTAATAATTTTAAGTTCTAATTGTTGTGTATATAATTTTGTGTAAATCTCATGTGTCAGGTAGATTTACACAAAAATTTTGTACGACCTTATTTTTAGTTGTTTTATAGCTTTTGTGCAAAAAAAAAATATCCCCTAATAACAACTAACCACGTGTCATACCTCTTACGTAACTTTTACAAACCTAAATCCTCCTCAATTAGGAAAAAAAAAATAATTTTCCCAGCCAATAGCAAACCTTTCCGCGGCCACCAAAATTCTAACTTGATAACAAATAATAAAATAAGATTCAAGTATATAGAAACTACATAATAAAGGTTTTATATAAACAATTATATAAAAACGTGATTAAAATATATATCTAATCTTTGGTTAGCTAGTACATATTTATTTCATTATAATAGAATGTAAAAGGATAAAAAAATCTAAAAAAACATTAGAATCTATTGCGATAATTGTAGAAGATAAGATTAAACGAAAGCGATGAATCAAACTATGTACGATGATTGTAGAAGATAAGATCAAACGAAAGTGATGAATCAAACTATGTATATTAAAAAAAATGGTCGAGCAGTTGTTATCTTGCTGGCTGGGAAAGGCGTAAAGGAATGAGAGAAGAAAGAGAAGCGAGTGGTGCTATAGAAAAGTGGGAAACAAAGAGGCGTGGTGCTATAGAAAAGTGGGAAACAAAAAGGCATAAAGGAATGAGAGAAGAAAGAGAAGCTTGGTGACATGAAAGTGTATTTTAATATATCGCTAGAGATAAAAAATATATATATATTTTATACAAAAGGTTTTTTAACATATTGCTGGAGATGCTCTTAGTTTTGGAAAAGCTAGCCTCTACAAAGAAACATTTATTTTGGCTATTTATTTTTTTATTTTTCTCCATAACTTGGACGCCCCGAACACATGCAAGTCCCAAATGCACCACGTAATTCCTTTTAAAAAAAAACCACCTTTAACAACTTATTCTTATATATAACAAATTGTTGACTTTCAACATATCAACTTGATAAAATTAATAATTTCAATTAATTTACAAATTGATATAAGTTGATAAAATAAATTTTATCATCAATTTATTTTTAACAATTATAAATTGATATTATTCTTGATAATAAAATCCCATAAATAATAAATTATTAATTATTTAGTAATTATAATATTATTAACAATTATTAAATTTATTATTTTCTTTGGATAATTTTATTTTAGATTAATAATTTTAAGATAAAAAATTGTCTACAATAAGTTAATATTATTTTAAATAATATCAGTTATGATTAATAAAATTATTATTTTAATAATAATATTAATTGAGTATTAATAAATCGTAGATAAATAAGTATGTACATCCTGATGATTTATATAACTTTAAAAATATAATTAATCAGTTTAAATAATTTTCATATTTATAAGTTAATATAATAATAATAATGGGGATTTAAACTCCAGATCTCCAAATTATAGCAACCTCTTCGATCACTTTTTTATTCATCATAGACACCAAATGTAATAAAAAATTTGCAAATAAATGGGATGTGATAATGTAATTAGATTATTGCATAGCTTGTGATAGATGCATGGTTCAAGCTCAATGCACAACAATTTAGTAATGAAGTAGTAGCAACTAGCAACTTTTAACTGTTCATTGAACACTCGTCATTGGAGACCATTTGTCTAAATAATTGTTCATTAGTCTTTTCACTCACTCTTTAGAATAGATAAATTATTAGGTGGTTGTGGCCACGATTATGAATATGCCATGTCACCGAATAATTAAATAAAGTTAACACATATGTTGACACTATGTATTCCAAAGTCACCAAAATTTTTTTTTGAAAATACTTTTTTCCAATCTCAAAACTTTCACTCCCAATTACAGGAATTACCAGCCCCATCCAATGAGCTTGACACAATCAGTTGGGTACCCAAATATGAACTTCTCCCTTGCTCATACAATTAAATACTTTCTCCCACCCACTTTTATCTTCCCTTGGCACCACACCATTTGGTTCAAGAATCATATCCCTAAGCACGGTTTTATTGTCTGGCTTGCCATAAAAGGGTAGACCAAGTACTTTTGACCGGAAATCAATGAAGCATAAACACCATACTAATGTTTGCTATCTATGTTTAGCTAACAATGAGTCTCTGGATCACTTATTTTTTCAATGTAGTTTCTCAAGGAAGATTTGGTCCTTTGTTCAACACACAACAGGGTTTTACTGTTGGGAAACGTGCTAGTTTTAAAAGCTTTTCGAGGGATTTAAATTCATAGATCTTGATTCATTACATAGAGACAAGTTTTATGCAAAAATAAAACATGATGTATCATTCAATTAAAAGATTGAATACTTACATCAAGATTTGAGTAAACCTTAGATCTCTCCTCTAAAGTGAATGTTCTCACTTATTGTAGATCCCTTAGCAAGATGCATTCTCCTTGGATCTCCATCTTCTTGGTAATTATAGGAATCACTCATATGTCTCCATGAATGACCTTGGAAAACTAGGCTTGTGGGAGCCTCCATTAGATGAGAACATAAACCCTAATTTTCTAGAGAGAGAAAATATATTCCTTTTTCCTTCTACTAAAAATCACCCCTAAAATATACATAAACCATGTATATTTATAGGCAACATAAAAATAAAGAAAAGAAAACAACAAATCCTTCTCAATCTCTAATTCACATGTCTCAAATCTAATATGATTCCAATATCAAGTTGGGCTATGAGTGAGAATCCATTGGGCCTATTATTTTATTGGCTACAATGAATTAATAATTGGCCCGGTCCATGGACCTATTCAATTAATTCATAAATTAATTTCTACTCCACTAAAAGAAATTAATTGAACTCCAATTAAATAATAAATAACCTCTAAGTCAATATTGCACTTTGACTCCTCTATGCATAATTAGTTATCGGATAAATAAAGCCATCAATCCGACTACTTAATTAATATATTTATTTTGGTACATTTGATTATTTTTAGCTCGATCACAATAAAACAT